ATGGATTATCAAAATATAATTAAGAAGCGATATTACATGGCTATGAAAATAATTAAAATAAGCATATTGTGATAGATTTATTGCTTCATCCACAATAATGTTTAGTTAATTAAAACTTAAAGCTTTATTTAAATATACTATTTTCTAATATGTTTTTCAGTTTAAAGTTCTATTAGGTACACAAAGTAACACTGTCACAAAAGATTTTAGAAGAAGATACTTTAATTGCAAAAGGTACTGTAAAAAACAATATCTCTATCTACCTTTTATAAATTAGTATGCTTATAGCAGCTACCACCCATACAGACATAAATTCTCTTTTATTTACAAATTAAATAAAAAATATATATGTTATTGGGACACACACCACTATCTACTCCCATGATACGCTTATGTTATGGATACCAGATAGTTGTTACATTACACATATAAAAGTTTAAATAAATACATATTATAAATATAAAGACCTAGTCATGACTGGAGTATTTAAAACATTTGTGCTCATCACATAAATAAATGCCCCTAGCGGGATTTGAACCCGCCACCGCTGGCACAGCAAGTAGGATCACTACAAAGTGAGCCAAACGTATCATATTTATTTTTATTATTAACAGAAGCCGCGGTTTCGCTCGCGCTAAAACTACAAAAAAATCTCTAAAATGGTAGGCTTCTTACAAACTTTCATCCCCTATTTTGCCCCCCTGTGGGATGATTTCGAAAAATGAAATTGAATTGAAAATGAAAAAAAAATGAATTGAAGAGCATTAATACCAAGTTTCAATTGATTCTGATCATATTTTTTTGGGTTTTATTATAACGTGTTTTCCCGTGGGAATGAGATAATCTCCCGTAGTAAAAAGTAGCTTATGTCACTCTCCAGCCCTCCAACTATCTCCACACAAAAAATTACGCCAATCCGTCATTCCGTTTTGACATGAAAGAAGGACAAACAAACAAAAAAAGAAGAACAAAAAAACAAACAAACACTTTCACATTTATAATATTAGTATGGATATGGATGTAAATAATATATTAATTTTTATTATTCAAATATTTTTACATATGTAATATATATGTAGGTGTTCGGTTTATTTTTTCAATAAAATATAGAATAAAATAAAAATCAGTAAGTACCTTTTTCATTAAGCAAAGATGTTTCAATACTAAATAATTTAAATACTGCAATGTCCGGTTCTATTCACATGCGATCGACAGATACCAAAATCGGCACATCGAAGATTTGTAAATAATTAATATATCTATTAATATGCTTACAGGAATAGTTTATAATATGTATGGCAGTGATACATTTAAGATGAATTAAGCTTTTTATTTAGTTACAACATAAAATATTTGTGAAAATTTTGTATTAATATAATTTTTAGGATCTAGTTCAATAGAAATAGGTTAGGCATGACCTAAAGTGAGTCGGTAATTTGACGGTTATTTACGATTTTTTTACGGTACGGTTTATTGTTAAAATGTTATTCTGTTGAATTCATCTTGACTATTTCTTACTCTTTATTCCCTTTGTCTGTTACAACTGTTTTTGTCAGAAGCAGTTTATTGTAAACTTGGTTATTATATGGTTTTAAGACTAACTTAAAAGTCGGACAAATGAAATGAGACAATTTAAAATATAGTATGTGATTATTTATCATAACTGTTTTAAGAGTTCGATTTCCAAGTGGGGTATATATATATATAGGTATCACTTCACACCTAAATAAGAACATAGAGTATTTAATAAAAAAGACAAAACAAAAAATTATACACAGATCTTAGCTAACGGATTGCTATTATTTAAATATACCAAGGAATAGGATTCTATTATCATCTTCATTAAATTTCATATCCTATCTAGAGCCTTTTTTTGTAAAGGACCGTTTAACTGTATAATTCTATAGGTTACAATTAGTCAATTTCGTTGAATTTGTTATTATATAGTTATTCATATCATTTAGCTTTTTCTCATTTACTTTTGTGTTCGTATCACATACATCTATACTATCATTCTAAGTTAACGAGTGTATCTACTATCTATGTATCTATCTGTGGCATCGTAGCGCCAATAAGGATGAACCGATTTTAAATTATTTTTGAAGTGAAACTTCTTTAGGCGCGCCATGAGAGAGAAAAAAAGGATTGGTTACGATTTTAATAACGGAAGCGGTTACGCTTGGTTACTGAAGTATATATGTATAAAGATAGTCAATTAAAAATTATTTAAACTATTATTTGAATATTTCAAAGAATAAATTTAATAAAAGGTAAAAGGATGTGAACAACTTCCACGCATCTAATGATCCGAAATTTGTTTTCCTGTTACTACATCTCAAAGATACCATAACATACCTCATAACCTAAGACTGATACTGCAGCATCACCTGTTATTTGCATGATACTCAACTCTTTACTAAAATATTTTGTTTGGGCTATTGAAATAGCCTCAGTGAATAGATTATTGCGTTGGGGATTATTTAAATTTTGATTAAAGATTTATTTATTTAAATCACAGATCGCTATATTCCAGGACTGAATTCACTATATCAATTCACTTCACCTTACCCTTCTTCGTATATCTTCTCGATTATCACTACACTTTAAACTCTTGATCTTGTTAAAATCTTGCCCTTTTATATACCTACATAAAGCAAAAAAAAAGTCTAATAACACCATAATCGAAATAGGTAGTTTTGGTAATGTCCATTTCTTTCTGATAAGTATTCTGTTTCTTTTCCACACACGACAACCTCCCATTAACTGCCCTTGGCATTCATCAGTCATTGACAATTATCATTAAGCATGGTTCAAGCGCGCTATTTTTACTGTAAATACTTTTTTCCTTACTTACAACTTTTTTGTTAAGCTTTTATTTTGTTTTCATACCGAATTCAAATATTATATAATACTTGCGACTCAACCTCGCTCCGCTCGGGTTAGCCCCTTGTTACGTTTTAAAGTTTAGTATAGATTTCTCAGAGATGATATATTTTCCCGCAGTAAATATTATCCTATATGTTGACCCGTATACCCAGCTATCATCATACCAAAGGGTTTCACCGGTTAAGCATATGGGTTTAGGCCCAGAGGCTTTCGAGGTTAAAATTTCACATTATTATTTTTTTAGATTAGAGTAGTTACCCCTATATTTCTTCTAATATACACAATTAAATGCTGGTATCTACCTATTCTATCTCTATCGGTTGAACACTAAAATAATGTGAAATATTAACCTCGAAAGCCTCTGGGCCCAAACCCATATGCTTAACCAGCAAAACCCTTTCATCAAAATGTGTCCAGTGGTTTTCTCGCTAAGCAGTCACAGACAGACAGATAAGCAAAAATCTAAAAACTATAAATTTCGCCTCTGTATCGACAATAATACCTATTTCAATAAGATTTTCCAAAAAATATTTAAAGTACAGATTCGACTCAGAATTTTATTATATGTATAGATAATTATTGTCCTTAAATCAGTAATAACCTAAATTTAAATTATTTAATATAGTTAAAGCAACAACCTTTCCTGATTAAATGGTTTGACTTTATTATGGCTCGTCTCCGTATTTCTAGCGCTTGGTCACATCCGCTTGGCCCCAACTCCCGAGGGAGGTAACCGTAAATCTGCCGTGTTAAAGCCTCAGTCTCACCTCTGGTAGCAATTTGCATTTTTATTTATATACTTATTGCCACCAGTAACTTTACTGCGATTATGCATTTAAATCTAAACGGTCTTTAAAGCCAGTAAAACATTTTCTTCACAGTTCCTAAGATTCTAACTTCCTAAGTAATACAAATGCATTTTTTTCTTCTTTTGACGCCTGAATGCCTCTACTTCACACACATGTAGCTTTTACCTTCAAAACGAACATAGACTTTAATCCCGTGGGATATTAGTCGTGTATATCAATAGTCAGAGCGAAGCGAAGACAGATCGCTATTATGTAATATATTATGTTAAGCACTTGAAACAAGAAACATGTTATTGTTAAAATATAAAGCATTTTATTTTGCAGTTTATTCAATAGAATCAGTACTTCCTTCTACAGTTTGTACACCATCTGTGTTACTGTAACAAATAACTTATACGTATATTCCGTATTTGCCTGTCCATTCGCATGCTCATACTACTAATAGCAAATTAAAATTTATTTACAAAAGTACCACTTTCTGCTAACTACTACCTAACAGGTCTAACGGGACGGATGTTTACAACTTCATGAGATGATCAACCCAGAAAAACAAAATTGGAAATACTAACGTGTTGAGCGTAAATAGTAAGCTAGCTGTAACTAATTGAAAGTATTAGAATTTAGGTTTTTGTACGGGTTTTTGCTATATATCATATTTTTATGGCGTATCGATGAAAATGTAGTATTATTTAATGCAAACAACAATTAAAATACTTATAAATAAATAAGAAATATTTATTATTTGTATACCTGTTAATCTAACAATTTCAGTTATTAAGGGGCAAGTGGGTTGATATATCGCCACCACGACGTACCTTGGTGACAACATGAGGGGGGTTGAGGGTCGGTCGTCGGTAGAGTCGAGTCATCGAATGTTAGAGCCATATCGTTGCGCCGAGGTGTACAGTCACTGAAAATGTAGGACTACAGAGTGCATATACCACTTAAAGTAGTTGTAAAGACAGAGATATTTCAAATACTGCTAGGTTGGAAGGCTTTTAAATAACAGTTTTTATGGTTGATATATCGCCAACACTAGGTAGCTTGGTGACAATAGCCGAGACATCGAGCATTAGAACAGCGTCGTGCTTTCAAGGTATACGTAGATTGTAGGCTCTGAATATGAAATTTCAAAGTGCAGGTGCTATTCAAAGGAATTATAAAAAAATGACTTATTTTTTATTTGTAAACCTGTAAAGTTTTAGTTATGAAGCGGCAAGTGGGCTGATTTATCACCACCATGGCGTAACTTCGTGTTGTCACTAAGTTACGCTGTGGTGGCGATGTAGTATGGTAGCCGAGTCATCGAGTGTTAGAGCCTTCGTGTTGAGGTGTATGGTGGGTTGTAGGCTCTTTGTGCGGAGGGTCACGGGAAGGCTGAAGGCAAGAATGCGGCGTGCGTGCGGGGCGGTGGTGGGGCGGGCGGGCTGCGGGGCGGTGGGGGATGCGTCGCTGCGACGGGCGGGCGGCGCGGGTTGGCGCGTGCCGCAGTAGCGTGGAGGTGCCGTGGCCGCTCGCCACGCTCCGGTCGCACCCTCGTGCTAGCCCCGCGGGCTCCCCGGGCGCACAGTGCCAAACAGGTTCAGAGTTCAGTGCCACTTTGGAGTTTCCAATTTTCTCCAGAAACGTACTTGCTACCCCCACTCGCTTATTATTACGAAACTCTTCCTTATTCTATCGTATTTTCGGTTATTTCTGCAATGCGAATTTAACAAAAATGTACATATGATGAGCAGTATACCGATGACTTAAATATTATTACACATGTTCGAAGCATGACATAAGGAAGACGCTAAGGTTTTTGTAGAATATTTTGTTACTCAACCTCGCGAAAAACTTCTGATAGACGACCGATGTTTTTAACATCCAATATCTGTCATAACTTTATTAAACGGGATGTAGTCAATTTGTTATATTATTTAATTTTTCATACTATTTGAAATGCCGCCAAGACATCGATAGAAACTACTATTCACTCGTCGATTAATGTCACGAAATGTACCATTAAAGCATAGAAAGTATAGTCATATATTTAACCTACACTTAATACACAAAATATATCTTGTCCTTTTCATTCAATTACATAAAGAAGTCGCCGTTTGATTAATAATAATAATCTACTACATATTCAAGCAACACGAAGAAGATAACACATACCGTTTAATATTATTCAAGATTAATATTTTACATTTGATAATATTATTAGCGTTAGCTTGGCGATGTTTTATTGTAACTATACCTATAGGTATGATTCAACATGAATTAGAAGCAGTAATAATATGCTTGTCTCTAGTTTTAAAAAACTTAATTAATTCAATTGCTTGACAAGATTAAAAAATGTAAAGGAGAACCGATTCATTCATTTTTGTAACAGATAGATATTTAATTTATAACCGTTCGGAATACCTAAGGAGTTATTCCTATTTGAGGTTATTATAAAGGCGTTAGTTCGTTCATTTTTTCCGTATTAATATATTATTAAAACTTCATTTAAATGATGAAGTTTAAAATGTTTTTTTTAATTATACAACTGCAAATGTTGCATATTCTATGTGTTTATATTTTTATTCTTCGTAAACAATATCCAAAGTTTTTAAATATGTTACCCAAAAAGTTCATATTCTCTATCTAGTCATTGCTTATACGAACATATCTATCGGTATTATAATTAAATCACCTCTTTAGATAAAAAAAAAAACACTTTATTAAAAGTAATTTGATAATATTTTGTCGTCGTTTTCGTAACAATTACTCAACAGACGAAATTGTCAATATTGGGAAGTTCGATATTTCCAATCCGTTCTTAAAGGAACTTGAATTCAGCGATTTTCACGAAATCACTTCTATGTGCGGTAAAGAAATTACTTCATGGAATTTACTATAATGGCTAAATCTTAAATTTGTACAAAATTTAAAATATCAAAATTATTTAAATATATAAATTATAAGAACAAAACAAATTTCCTCACAAAATCGAATTCGCAATGAATTATACTTAACATTACTAGAAATTTTTTTTATAAACATTTTATATTAAAATTCATTTGCTGGTATACTTAGAAAAAATTATCGAATTTAAATATTTTAATGCGGGCTGCATTTAAATGTTATTAAACAATGACTATCTGTTATACTTAACTGAGTAATTATATTTTTATCATTGAAAATCTTTATACAAATATACAATACAACATGGATGCTTGTCAGCAGAAATACTACAACATCAGTTATAATTTCCCATACATGATAATTAAATGTTAATTAAAATATATTAATATAATAGTTATAGTGTACATTTTCACTTGTAAGCTTCTTTGTGCAGACTGTGTATGAGATATTTTAAGTAAAGGGATTCTAAGCTCTGCATTACAGTTTTCGTCTTTCCACTAGCGCTTTCTTTAAGAAATATAATGTCTCTTTGATAAAAGGAAGCTGTGTACTTTGAATCTTCTACGTGTAGATTGAATTTTAAACTTAAATTTTAGCGTTTTTGATAATTTTGTAACGATTAAAAAGGATGAAAAGAATAAAACGTTAAATTATGAAAAAACTAGCGACTTACCATCGCTCAGCTAGAGTGCGTCCGGTAGCGCCTAGGTCTTATTGCAAATTTTATTACTAATCGTAGCTTATGTGTAAGCTAAATTTCATCCAAATCTGTCCAGCCATTTTATCTTGAAGTAATAACAAACATATTATATACATACACATACAGATTTTCGCGTTTGATGTATAATGTTATTCTATTTAATTCGCAAAAATATATTTCCAATATCTTTTTAATGACTTTAGTAAAACACTACATTTTATTAAAATATTATTAAATTACTTCTATCTAACTAATTTTACTCTTGAATAATATATTTAATTGCAAAAAGGCGGCGTGGTTTTCAATAATAAAAATTGGGTACTATCATCTACTCATTTTTTTCATACTAAACTTATCTACAGAAACTGAATTTAGCTTCAAAAATATGTTTTGTTTTCAGTTAAAAATAATATAAGTTAAGAAAATCTAGTGAAATTATAAAATTACCATATTGATAAGTTCACCTTTTCAGTACCAACACTAACTTTCTAAGTGCCGTTCTTAAAGGTCACAGTATCAGACAATTTTACAAATGTAATTTTCTTTATTTACGAAATTTCCATTAGATTCCACTTTTTATTTATAATACGTATATAGAAAAAGAAGACAAGATGACATTCAAAAATCATTTGTATTACGCTTTTAGTTAAAAAAGTTGTATATATATATATATATAAATATGCACACTAGCGGCTCACACTCGCTTCGCTCGGGTTCGCCTCTAGACAAACAAAAACAAACCTATCCCACGGGAACCGTACATTTTTCCGAGATATAAAGTAGCCTATTTGTTATCCTGATGTACCAACTATATTATTGTAAATTTTCATTAAAATCCAATGAGTAGTTTTTTTCATGAGTCATTCCAATGAGTAGTACTAAGCTGTATAAGTTAATATAGTTTTTTAACTATCCCACGGGAACTCTTTAATTTTCCGGGAAGAAAAGTATCTAAAATATTGACCGGGGATACCTATAAGGTACCACCATGCAAAACTTCATTTGAATCGGTCCAACAGTTTCGGAGATTAGCCCGTACAAAACAGACAAACAGACAGAGAAACAAAATATTTGAAAAAATCTGGATATGTTCTATTTCTTTTCTTACATCCCCCTGACTCGATTTTTTGCATTTTTTTTCAGTTTAAAGCTATGAAACGCATAAATATATTTTTTTAATTAATTTTAGCGATTAGCGCGTTACAACAAATAACCTCTTCCAATTTATATTATTGTATAGGTATATACATTTGGTATCCTTTATATTTGTATTCAGCCCCTTTTTAACATCCCACTGCTGGGCACGAACCTTCCTTCAATACAAGGCGGATCAGGTCATAGTCCACCACGCTTCTCAAATGCGTGTTACCCGACTTCACATGTCTTTCGTATTATTAGGTTTAAACATGCAGGCTTCCTCACGATGTTTCCCTTTATCGTAAGACAATTGGTAATCATGTTGGAAATGATTCGCACATGTAAATATTAGAGGAGCGAGATCTGGATTTGAATGAGTCTGCTTTATTTGGTTTCCCAAACAACTGGGCTACCACTGCCTTATATTTAAAAAATAATAATTTACGTATTTAATAATATTTGATTGTTATATTTAGAAATTTAAAAATAATAAGTAAAATTGGAAAATCTATACATATAACAAAATTGTAGCTAAGCGGAATCTGTACATTAAATATTTTTTGGAAAATCTTATTGAAATAGACATTATTATCGAAACAGAGACCGAATCTATAGTTTTTAGAATTTTTGTCTGTCTGTCTGTATGTCTGTCTGTTACCGCATCACGGAAAAATCACTAGAGGGATTGTGATGAGATTTGGTATGATGGTAGCTGGTTATCTGGGTCAACATATAGTATAATTTTTACTGCGGGAAAATATCTCATCTCTGAGAAATCTATTCTAAACGTTAAAACGTAACTAGGAACGAAACCGAGCGGGGCGAGGGCGAGTTGGTAGTTTACTATAACAATTATAATTAATTAACTAATATAATTAAATTCCAAACAACTAATTATTATATAATTTATTAAATCGAGAAAAGCGTAATATTTCGAAGCCCACTTAATATCTCTTAAGCAGTACTTTTCATTGATTGTGGGATAATACGAACATGAGCTGATTGCCTCGTTTTCTCTGTACCAGATCGGGACAAATAACATAGAACTAATACAAACGTCCCCTCCTTGTGTTTGACTTCTGATGTCGAGAGAGACCTATTCAGACGCAGAACCACTTTGATTAATTATATTATAATTGAACTGCATAGCTATGTATTTAATTAATATTTAAGAAATAAAACATAGAAGAAAATCGTTCGAGTCTGGAACATTATGGGAATATAAAAGAATTGTAAGATTAAAGTAAGGCCCTATATACTATTTTTTTTAATTAGTAGTTTTGAAGATAAGACGTGGAATGTCTAGAACACTGAAAGTTTTCTCAATATCTCTTTAATTTTTTTTAGACATATAAAATATTGTGCAATGATATAACATTAAATATGTCATATTATTTTGCACTGTGATTCCCAAAAATGTAATAAAATTAATCAATTACAATAATTTTTCAATTTTTTTACAAGCTCTCATAACTTAAAAATGCTAAATATCAACGTAGTCGATTTAAACAGCATGGTGTACAGACAGACAAACAGATACACGACTGCTCTTACAAGAAGTTACCTATTTAATTTGTTTTTACGAATCTCATATATTATATACAATATACATACATAAATAATTTTAAGGGATAAACGTTATGTTTTGCAGAGAGAACTAAGTGCTACGATCTCTACATACCACTTCCACTTCTTCTATTCCATTCCTATATTCAGTCAAAGCCATGTTTTTTTTTTTTAAATATGATTTATAATAGTAACTACTTTCCTTTCACGTTGATCAATTGCTGAAACGATTATGTAAGCACATTTCTAAGTAAGGACTTGAATGCAGCAAAAACAACCCCCAAAGCTAAAGCTTTTGGATAATATATTTGAATAAGTCCATTTTGACTGTAGAATATTAATAGGGCGTTTACGGCATTACTGAGTTCTCTAAACGATCTTTCTTGGACTGATATAATGCAAGAAGTCGCAATTTGAACTCATCAAAAATATAAAAAAAGATATTTAGGATTAGAACGGCCTTTATTTCCTACTTTTTCACACTTTGTTTCTTTCACATCTAATTTTTCTGTTGTCTTTAGATTTGAGGAAAAAAATATTTATTTTTGTGAATACATAATTTGACAGTGCTAATTTATACAGGCTATACTTAATTCTAATTTACTACTTGTTCATTTTAAAAATGAAAATAAGAAAAAAAGTATTGGCAACCAAATTTAAACTTTCCTTGTAGTAAAATTCATGTTAATTTAATAATGACCAATAAAATTAAAATATTCTGAAAATTAAACAAAAATAGACAAAGATCTAGTCAAAGGAAACAAATGCCGTCTACTATCACAAAGAGAGTTTCTAGAAATGGCAAAGTGTTTCTGGAAAATAGCTTCGAGAACTTCAGCGATAGCGATTTCAGAAATTATGATTTTTACTGGAAAGTGATATTTTTTCAAAAAGCTCAAAAGCTTATATTGAAAATAATTAGATGAGGCAATACAAACTCCTGATCCCATGTTCTTAAATTTTTACCCTCGATATACAACTTTTTAATAGTTATTGTATTCACCACTTTTTAACACCCAAATTTTTTGCAATTACACTGGCCACATGCGGGATGGCAAACATCATGTGTCTTTCGAAAACTTGCTATTTTTCTTAGATATGCAGGTTTTCTTCATGATGTTTTCCTTCACTGTATGACAAGTGGTAATTATGTTAGAAACAATGCGCGCATAAAAATATCAGAGGCGCAAGATACGGGATTTGAACTCGCTTCACTCGATTTCCCAAGCAAATAGGGCTACCAAAGACTTCTAAAGGATACAATATCCATACTAATATTATAAATGTGAAAGTGTGTTTGTTTGTTTGTCCTCCTTTCACGTTGAAAAGGAGTGACGGTTTGGCGTTATTTCATGTGTGGAGATAGTTGGTAGGTTGGAGAGTGACATAGGATACTTTTTATCGGGGAAGATAATTCCCACGGGAAAACACGTTATAATACAATCCAAGAAAAAATTATGATCAGAATTACTTGAAACTTGGTATTAATGCTCTTAAATAAAATAAATAAATACATATTTAAGCATTTTTTATAATCCATTATATAGGGGGTAAAATAGGGGATGAAAGTTCGTATGAAACTATCTTTTTAGAGATTTTTTGTAGTTTAAGCGCGAGCGAAGCCGCGAGTCCTGCTAGTACAAAATAAATCTGAGTTTATCTGCAATGAATGTTATCAACCCAACGCCATAACTTATGCACATCGGTCGTGACAATATCTTTAATTTACATCTTATTTATTACAATTGTCCTTAGCTTGTTAGCTTAGAATCTAAACAAAGCTTAATTTACTTTATTTATCAAAATTAAACTAACAAAGCAGTGTTAAAATTATTTCCAAAAATAATTTACTCCTAGTAGATAGAGCTTTGACTAGACAGTAGACACTTAACCTAAATTTAAACATTCAGGATTATAGCTTCAAGAATAGTTAATAGTTATAACGATAGAATATTTATTAAAATACAAAAAAAAAATACAATATGCATATTACAAGACATAAATTTGAGAACTCTCCAATATTAAGCCAAGCCTAACCTCAAGCAACTGACTGTGCCAATGAAAATAGTGAAAAAGTTACTGGCATTAGATAATTTTATATACCTAAATCTAAATTGGATGTGCTGGTAATTTCTGCTATAAACATATAGAATGTAGCATTCCTAAGGAGGGCTGATGTCAGGCTGGCGGCTGGTCGTGAAACTTTTGCCAAATCCTATCAGCAGTACGGAAGATATACTGCGCCGACCCCAAGTAATTGGGAAATGGGCTGGGAAATGATGAAGATTTATTAAAATACAAAAGTCGTCAGGTGTAATTATTCTATTATTTTTAAATTCATTGTTCATTAAAATAACTTAAAATAATTTGTTTAATTTATATGAGAATACCCTCGGGACGACAATTAAAAAAAAATATAACATATAAGCAATTTAAAAATCACTAAAATGAACAAGTTATTATTTAATTTTGTGGGTAAATACGGTCTGTAATATCTTTACAATATAACATTTGAGAAGTCTAAACTTTAGACTTTCCCGTGATCATATTTGCTGTAAAGTATACAAAACGTTTGGAACAAAAATACAAAAAACAAACAAACAATAGACAAAATTAAAAATAATTACTTATATAATATTTTCAAATTATATTTTTCACATCAAAAAATAAATTATATTTTTTTAAAAGTTATATTGCCTAATATAAAGAAAAAATAATTTTCAAAAACTAATCCCAAATTATCTCTTCTTATTATTATAATAATATTTTTTGTGTACCTAATATAGTAACTTTGGACAAACAAGAACAATCAACTTACCGGCAAATTAAAGTGTCTATGCTATCGTTTCTCAAGCCTTTTAGTGTCAGACCACTTAGCAAAAAAAGCTAAGTAAAGCACCACTACGACGTTTTCACTGCAATAATATGTTAAATTTTTTTTTTTTATAAAACTCATTTACAGAAAAATACGTGCTATATACGGTGTCTAACATATTAAATTCATTGCAGACCTCCTTATTACTCAATAGAATTCCCCAACCCTCTCGGTTCTCACTTTAAACTATTACACTATTTATAAATGTTACGGTAAGCACTATTAGGTATCTATATTTTCAACTGGCCAAAGTATTGTTTAGTGAAATTTGTAATACAACTACACTATTTATGAATTAAAATGCGTACTTTACGTATTTCTGGTATAGTACTCTAAACGGAAGTCAGTAAATAAAATCTAAGTTTTATAGGCGAGTGACTGCACCGATTGAATTTCCGCGCTCGAAATGGATTTTTTTACGATAGCTCTCATCCCAACCGTTTTAACTACATTAACGTGTTAACAAGCGTCGTGTGTTTTAATCTCACATCCAGTGACATTTTTTAATTCTTCTCTTGAGCCCTAATTTAATATTTTAGAAATTAATTCTGTCTTAACTTACACCTGTCATGTTCAACCATCCATACAAATCCATACAAAGGCGGGATTAAAATTTGATTTTACTTGACATAATTTAATTCTTTATGTTAGTAATATTAATGTGTACGCAGGAATCAGATAACTTTGCCAATATTATTTTCTTAAATTGATTATATAAATAGAAAATAATAAACACATACTGTAGTATTGCAAATCGATTTAACATTTAAAAGTAGGTCAGTGTTGATTTTCATGCACACTTTATTAGTTATACAGAAAATATTCATACATTTTTTCATTCTTATTTATGACTTAATTTTAATAGATAATATTGATTTACATATTTTATTACATTTACATATTTTAAGTTAAAGAGAGAACAACTGTCATAAATTGCGTCAAATATGTACCATAAACCCGATGATGGCCTACATATAGCATCTTCCTAGTAACTATCAAACGTGAGAAAGTCGTTCCTTTTATGGAGATAAACAGACGTATGTTCGTCTCAAGAATTCAAGAGGCCTCTACGCCAAATTTTATCGACCTTGACTCAACTAGACGTGTAATGTACATTTAGTTTTAAACCACTTAAGATGACCCCCATTTTATATGGGTACACATAAAACGAGAAACTCAAGCAGCATCTACAGATGCACTCAGCCGATTGAATAGAAAGCAAGGTTTTAAAAATAGTAAACTAGTTGTGCGATAAAAAAAGTTAGGCTGAAACTCTAGACCATTTTCTTTAAAAAATGGCTTTAACTTAATATAAACAGTACTTAAAAACAGTATGTACATACTCGTAACATCTTTAACCACAAGGCAAAAATAATATAAAAAATTATATAACAACACTATCTAGTATCTATATATTGGGCCACAACACTATCTAGTATCTATATATTAACCATTGGGGCGTAAAAATAAAATAAATCGAGCAACAGAGGGATGTTATCACAAGTTATATCAATTACTACGTACGTTTTAAATAGATATAAATAGCTATTATCCAGCGTTAGCCATATACATTTTAATTTTTTTCCGTCAATTTTTATTTTTTTCTCATTATTAAAACCATCCGTGGACCTTAAAGATCATACGAAATAAAAACTTTTTAACAAAAAAATAAAAACCGACTTCAAACAAAAGCACTAAAAAGTGAAAAATAACTGATTGGTATTTTTCATTTACTATACATACCTAATCAAATATTTTCGAAGTCGGTGTGCTTTGCTTTGTATGGGCTGGCACCGATTTCGAAAATATTTGATTAGGTATGTATTTAATAGGTAGGCTTTAATTACTTAGCCAAAGCACACCGACTTCGAAAATATTTGATTAGGTATGTATAGTAAATGAAAAATACCAATCAGTTATTTTTCACTTTTTAGTGCTTTTGTTTGAAGTCGGTTTTTATTTTTTTGTTAAAAAGTTTTTATTTTTCCCTTTTTAGTGTAGACAGTAGTAGCAAAGTAAGGATTCTAACGTGTTAGGCTTGTCAAATCAAACAAAATAAGCCCAAACTCAAAGTATGTTGTATTAGCCGTTGAAGAGTTCCACCTATCCACCTTCTGGCCTTGCCATCAGATCAGGTCAACAACACCGAACCACTGTACTATCAACGAAAATAGAAATACTTGCAAAGTTTCAAGTCAATATGACAATTAGAAGTAGGTTAAATTCATTATTAGTTGTTTTTCCACCCTTAGGGGTGGTATTTTTTTTGAAATTTAAATGGGACC